ACACACACACACACACACACACACACACACACACACACACACACACACACACACACACACACACAGAGGCCCACTAGGGTGAAATCGTGCTGACACAGACCTAGCAGGAACATATCCCTGACACAGAGAGAGAGACAGAGACAGACACACGCACGCACACAGAGAGAGGGGGGGTTGACAGAGACAGACAGACAGACAGATAGAGACACACATACACACACTCAGTCCCACTAGGGTTTAACCATGCTGAGACAGACCTAGCAGGAACATGTCCCTGATGATGTTGTTCTTGAGATGCACGCCCGTGTCCTGTCCTATCCCGTCAGTCAGTGGGACCGTGTCGCGCTCGTGAATCTCGTGGAACAGGTTCGCCTGCATCGGGTCGATCTGGAGAGGGGACGGAGAACACGGCGTTTCTCAAAAGGCACAGTGAGTCTACTCAGGCCGTTACAGTGTTAACACACATTACAGATGCACCCAATGCTTACAGGGCAAATCGTCACATTTCAAGTCAATAGTACGATCAACTGCTATTCTTCGCCTATACTACTTCGTAGACTTATTGGAGCGGCGGTGTTACAGACTCCCTCTGATGCAACAGAGAACTTTATCACGTTTTAAAAAAGTCCCGTTTCAGTCCCGCTTACCCCCCCCCCCAAAAAAAAAAATTTAGCCGCCGCTTAAAGAAGTATGCATGGGGGGCTTGTTCTTTTCATGTGTGGCGGACGGACGGAGGAAAAGAAGGAATGATTCAAAGATGGAATCAAGGGAGGTGCATGGAAAAGGTGGAAATTGAATACTAAGTGGCCATGCCTTATTCCTATCTCTATATCACAAGGATCAACAAGCCTGGGGATTGGTGGAAAGTGCTGATGACGTACTTACCACCGATTCTGCGCATGACTGTCCCTGCTTCTCCGGACACACCCAGCTGTAGTCGTCTGTTACCTTGGCAACCAGCGTCCAGCCTCCCCCTGCCGTGGTCATGTCGCAGTACGCACGGAAGGCGTTCCTGTTGTCAGCTCTGCTTGGGGAAAAATAACGTCAGAAGGTGAGTTGGCAATAATTCTGTGCTTCCCCGTATTTTAGTTTAGCGGTCAATGGAAGTCTTCAGAGATACGTTTTCAATGACCGCTATAAAACAATTTTCAATGAGAACATACAATAGACGTCGACTATTTAGATGATGAAGTGAAGAATCATCAAGACTTCTTCAAGCACTTCTATGGCGCCAGCTTGTACATTGAATTTTCATGTATTCCGAGTGATGTTGTTTTGTTTTGTTCTGTCCGTCAGCTTCTGCTTCAAAACAAAACAAAACAAAACAAAACAAAACAAAACAAAACAAAACAAAACAAAACAAAACAAAACAAAACAAAACAAAACAAAACAAAACAAAACAAAACAAAACAAAAACCGCGCGTCCTTCTTCCTTCTCACTCGCTCTTTCATTCAGTCTATCCAGTCGTTCCGTTTCTCAGGGTTCTGACCTGTTCTTGGGGTTGATCCAGTACATGCCGTCCCCTCGGCTGTCCCCGCGGAACAGGATGTCCAGACAGCTCCGGCCTGGTCTGTTCGGGTCCCGGCTGGGAGGGGGGAACAGACCGCGCCACTCCTGCCCCGTACAGATGTCCAGCGCCTCTTCTAGAGAAGTTGAAAAAAATCAGAATTTTAGATCTGTACAAAAGAAATAACTATCTGTAGAGCCGGTATATTAAACCGCTTTTCGGCACATCAGCTTCGTAGGCACGCAGCGTGGCGGAAGCTGGCTACATTACACCGAACGACTTGTTACATCTAGCCCTTGAACATCTAACTCTAAACATTGTTTAAAGCTATCTAATGATAATGCCCCTACTGTCCTTGGTGACCAGCGAGTTCCACTCTGCGATAGAAAGAATGTGTCCTTGGTCGACAACTCTGGTACTTGAAGGCTTGGCTATTTCTTGTTCTTGACTATTTCTTGTTCTAGAAGTTTGCGAGTCTCTCTGTGATCAACCATTGATCCCCATTTCTTATCAACCTGATTTATAGATTGAAAATAGGGGGTTGCACACCTGTCTCGTCTATCTTGATATCGCCCACGTTGTCCGGGGTACACTGTCCGGACGACACCACTTTGTTTGCGCGAGGCTGCAGCGACACCTCCGCTTCATACGAGGACGGCGAGTCTCTCTGCAGCTATTAAAGGATGGATGGCGAGATGATGAGCCGTCTCAAAATACATCATTCTGGGGACTAAACCAGCAGCTTCAAACACATTCGTCGTCCCTTATTCAACAGATAGCTAGTGAATGAAGTGGCTATGTTGAAGACTAGCCTGGTTGCCAAACCTATTTTAGCTGCTGAGTCTCTTGTCCTCTCTGCAAATAGGCCTGGCACCGGAGAAGACAATAGACACTCAACAGCTAAAATTGGCTTGGTATATTATCCAGGGTATAGTTGAAGCAAGGCGGTTTTAAACCTTTGAAGACAGGGCGTGATTTAATGCCCCCTATGTGAAGTCGATGGAAGTGCAGGTTAAAAGAGAGGCTTACCTTGTTGACCTTGCCCTCCGTCTCTTTCATCTCCTCCCTCAGTTCTTTCAGGAGCCTCCGGGTGCTTCTCTTTCCATTCTGACTCTACAGGATGAAAAAGTTGTGATATTGTCAAGATGCGTCGCTGGAGTAGTTTATAATAACACAGGATCAACGCTATAGTATCAAAGTAAGATTTTTTCCATTGGAATATAAGATACAGAAAAGATGAAACTGGTCGGTTTGTCGGACACCAATTGTTTGTTGTGTGCATCCTTTGGAAAATCAAACAGCATCCGCCTTTGGGTCTTGATTTCGTGTAGACATCAAAACAACCATTCCGGCTTCACAATTATATTTAGTACCATTAATATTTCCGACTAATTCCTGCTATAATGATGTACAGTAGTAAAGACGGGGAAATGCTTATCTTGCAAACGACAAAAGAAAATAGTCGGCACATCACAGAGACTCCGGTTTGTTCTACCTCCCTGTGGACTCATCTGTTTCAATTTTCGTCATATTTGATATACGGTGGCGTAAATGAAGGGAGAACTGACTGCACGATCCCGCGGGCTTACCTTGGCGACGTCGGAGAGCGTGAAGACCACGGTACCGAGCTTGATCTGCCGGCCCAGCGGGAGGAACACCATGTCAGCGTCCGTGTTGTTCTTCGTCATTAGGGAGATCTCACCCTCCAGCAGCTGCCTGCAAAAGGGACGGCCTTGTTAGCTTCTCAATACTAGTATTAGGCAAGAAAAGAGTGTGTGTTGTGTGTAAATTATAGCCTCTACCAGGCTTCGGGAGGTGTCTGAAAAGAATAGAATTTGACCAAATAGAGAGATAATATGCCAAGGGAGTTGGTCCGCTAGAGCAAGAATGTCCTTGGCTAGAGAGTACAGTTTGCCGCACCCGGACCAACTCCCTTGGCATGTTATCTTTCTATTTGGCCAAATTCTGTTCTTTTCAGCCGCCTCCCGAAGCCTGGTAGAGGCTATCTCAACAGTACGCCACAAAGGATTGTTCGTTGCGTGCAAATGAAAGAAAAGCCTTCAGAGATTTATAAGAACAAAAATTGCATGGAATGAAAACGAAAGTCAAGTGAAAATTCTTCTAAAATCAAGGGTGATCTCAACGATTTCAGTGCTAAATCCTAAATATCAAAGATGCAGGGGCTAAGGCAGTCTAAATGTAAAAAAAGAGTGCGAAAAAAGATTCCTATCTTTGGGCAAAGGGTGCGAAAGATATTGAAAATGTATTAACGTTATTCAGTTTAAACTGTGATTCGCTGAGCCTTGTGTGATCACGTGATTGAATTTGAGTGAAATCCTCCCCGACACGTTGACTTCCCGTGTCCTTCCGCCGTTTCTTCCTCCTGCTGTGATGAGGTTGAACAAACCAAAGTGCCGCTCCTGACCTTGACTGGTGGGGTCAACGGGCACCCCGGGACACATGTAGGGATTCGACGTTCGAATGAAACTGTGAGGGGTGTGAAGGAGTAGCCTCCATAGCATGCCAAAAACTGGGGGTTTGGGGGGTCTTCATGTTCTTTGAGAGCTTTTATGTGCGATTTTCTGATTGCATATAGACAAGATAGCCGGCTTGGTTGAATTACTGGGCTAAGCAGAAACAACCGAAGACCACCAAACCCCCAGTTCTATAAGCCTGCTACGGAGGCTAGTGAAGGAGGCAGTTTACATCAGGGCCCATCAACCCTCTCTGAACCGTGACGGTGGGAGATTCCGTCTTCCCGCCACTTTTGATGCACGCCGACGTCATCACGTCTCGGACTTCCGGAGAGTCAGCGAGTGCATCACACATCTGACGAAAGTTGACGAGATCGACCGAAAATGTATGGTGAGTTTGAACTCTAAGTATAACTAGGGATTCAATAGTCTCGCCACAGACGCCTTTGGGTGGGCCATAGCGTAACTCTTGATACAGGTGGGCCCATGTAGTCTCGTCGCAGACCCTTTGGGCTAAGAAGAAACAACCCGGGACACATGCAGGGTTCTCTCAGCCTCGTCACAGACGCCTTAGGACACCGTGACATCAGACAATAGGGGGAACTTGGAGGTTGCGAGAACAGTATACACGGATGTTCGAATCGATAATTAATTCTAGCCACTAAAACTGAAAATTCATGGCGGTTGCATTTTTTTAGCTTGAATCTTAGATATTGTAATATTGATTGGTGACACATACCTTTAAAGTGTTTTTGTCGTGATGAAGCAGTTTTTGTTCAAGTACAAAATAAACGTTATATATTATCCGTCCTTCATGATATTTCGCAGAGATTTCTCTTTTCTTTATGAATGACGGACATATCAAAAGAAACTGTAAACATGTTTCATGTTTTCCGCGCAGGGATACTGTAAACAGACGTGCCACGGAGAAGACCTCGGCACATCATCATGTGTCATGAGCAGCTGAGCACCAACAAAAACACGACCGCTGGGAGCTACTACGCAAGGATGTATGCTACAACGTTTCTTATTTTCCTTTTAACACATTGCATGCATGTCATAATAATGTATAATATCATGTCTAAAATTTGTAGCAAGGGCGTCAATAATAACCTAAAAAATGTAGTATATAACGTGGTCAAGCTACTACGAGCAAGGGTACAACATATTGTGTGTTCTTGTTGCTTACTCTTACATCTGTACAGTAAATAGTCTTATGTCCTACCTTCTCCATCCTTTCCCTTTCAGCGGAGATGCCTCCATCCCCGCTATGGTCGACAGAACAGCCGTTAGTACAAAAATCCCGGCAAAATCCATAGTTTTCCCGCAGCTGTGAATTTTTTTTCACGGATGGAGCGTACGATGGGAGTGGCACTGCTCGCCTCGCCGATGTTGTGTCCTGAAAAAGGCGGCTTGTGAAGATGGAAAAGGCGGCATCCCTCTTATAACTACTTCCTCCATTGTTTTCTCCTTATCCGTGTTTCTGTGCTGTGATTGGTTGTGTGGAGGAGCGGCACGTGCGATTCCCGGCAGTAGGTCCGGCGGACGGTGGTGTGATAGCCGCCGCCAGCCTTTGGCGGCGTCCCGGTCCATTCATCGCCGGCCCTCTTGGGGGCGTTGCCGTTTCTTTTCTGTATGACGTCAGATTTTTCTGAAATACTTGAAACACCGGCGAGCCGTTGGGATATCACTAAACATGAACCAACAGCCTCATATTATATTTTACAACGGTTACCACACCTATTTTCTATTCTATGCTTCCTCTTTAAGAATTTAATCAAATGCTTCGCTGGCTTTACCAGTTACTCCTGACTTATTGTCCATCCCGTCTTTGAGAGAAGTGGTTAGCAGAGGGAAAATATAAACTCTAAGAATGCAAGGTCGCTAACCGAATGGACCGAAACAATGCGTTGTCCCTAGATCGTACCCTGGCCCCACTGTGCAGCGTTTTCCCTGCATTTACTGGACCTTGCCATCAAATAGTGCGCGGGGAACTTTCTTCTATTGTAGCCTGGACACTTTCATCTCTGCGTGCGGTCCTCTTCCAATGACGAAAAACAATGGCGTGCCTGATTTCAAGTTCTGCCGATCGCTGAAATCCTATCAGGCCTGCCGTCTGAAGTTTTCTCTTTTTGTGCCTCCGGTTTAGCCTGCATCTATTCTGACAACAAGAGATGTTTTTATACATGAAGAATGGCGTTACGTTGTGCTATATGGTCTTTTGAATGTTTTATGTACGTATGCTTGAGTCCGAAGCAGACATACACAGTGAGTGTCGTTCGAATCATGCAGTGCTAAACTGACATGCTTTAAAATAAAATATCGCTACTTTTTTCTTCTGAACTAGACCAGTTGTTTTGTAAACAGCTTTTAGTTTTTCCTCATACTTGTTTATTACACGCACCAGAGGGTTGGATCGCTCTTTGATGGACATCCGCGTATCCTGTCTGTGTATTATCGACTACTTGTTAAGTGCGGTAAGTGAGTTTTATTGGGCTGTTTTTCTAACAGCTTGTCTCTTCTTTGAAGTTTGCTCAAAACAAGGAGGTTCATATTGAACCTCCATTGAGGCTCATATTGAACCTCCTTGCTCAAAATATGTGAATAAAATGCTCAAACTGGAAAGAGGACAGCAAGGACGATTTGCGTTGAGAAAAACACAAATAAATATACAAAAAAGAACAAACACAAACAAAAAAAGCAACAGAAAGACCTCTTGGAATAAAACTCAAACGTCATGATTCGGACAAACCAGGCATTTTTGTGTATGTTCTGAACAGCTTGAGCTTGGGCGTTTCGAATGATAAGTTTAAAATATAATGCATGCTGTCAAAATTATAGTACATGTACTTGCAGTACATTTCGGTATATACCATACAATGTATACGTTAGGGCAGTACATAGAAGGTCTCCTTGATTTTGCTCTTCTCTTGTTAATTTCCTCCCATCTGATTTTCTTGACTCTTCGCCCGGCTGCCCCGACTTTCCCCGTACAGGAGCCGCTCCGATTGATCTATCTTCCCAGGGATCACAACAAAAGGTACAGCAATTACACGCGTGTTTGGGTTGAATGGGAAAAATTGAATTGGTGCGCTTTGAAGCGGTGGCCGACATCTGTAATCTTTGCCCTTTCTCGTGTAGAGCTCCATGGTGAAAGACACGCTTGTTTTGAGGCATTGTGTGCGTTCTGTTCTGATTTACCGAAAAGTAACGTCCGTCCTTCTGACTGCTCATGTAGCGGCGTCTCTCACCGCGGCCACATGGCCGAAACACCATAACAAATAATGCGTGCTTTGACATCACCTCGCAGGCATCATTACACTGTGGGACAAAAAAAATGTAATTCTGCCTTTGAAAGTTCAGTCATCGTCTTTTCCACATACGAATGTAAAGGCATTCTTTCTTATGTACATGTACAAATGTTAAATACAACGCCTAAAACTTTACTTTAAGGGACCAATGATGCTAGAATTGTAAACCGGACCCATCCTTAGGTACACACACAAGATTGTATCCTTTATGATGTACTTCTCGTTCTGTGTATAGTACGTAGGTTGTTGGCGTCTCCCTTTTGCCCATTCCTTGTAATCTCCAAGCAGATCCCTCTCGGTGGCAAAAAGACAGTATCAAACTGGCCAGGCTGTATCCATTAGCCAGAGAAGGTCCGCGGCCACCGACGAGGTGGGGGTAGCGACAAAAAAAAAACAAAAAACGGTGGGGGTAGCGACAAAAAAAACGGCAAACGACATTCCCCCACAACCTCTGCTTGGAGAGTACATTCCTTGGGCGCAACAAACTTTTCGGTCCGCACCTGGTGTTAGAGACGGAAATAGTCACCTGGTGACTTCCGGTAACGTCCCAGAGATGGCTTCTGCATGGGATTTTCCTGCAAAATATCGACCCATATAGTTCGATACAATTGATCTAAGCACACACGACACGTCACAATATGTATCGAACATGCAGGAAGTTGTCCTCATGCGAAACGGAACACCGGAGGTCCGCATCACAGGTGAGCAGAAACACATTCACACGTTTGGTGACCAGAAACAATTGGCGTAAATATTTGTTTATCACCTGACTTCCGAAAGTGAAAGAAAGTACCTCAAAAATGACGAAAACACTTCCTTTTGTTCCACACACGCATTTTAAAGCCGTTCTTTTTATTCACGGGAAGTATATTTTTCAGAACTGTTTTCTCATGACGTGAATAAGTATGAAAAGAACAACAGTATAAAGGATATCAAAGCATATCTTAGCGATGAGTTCTCCCAAGCGGAAGGTACTCGGCCGCACAAGAACAATGCGCCTTGTTTCGTGCGGCTTATTCCCAAACTGGATTAAGGGTATTATATCTTCGGAGGGTGATGGTTCGGTTTGTGAGACGGTACTTGGGTATGCCTCATTTGCTGTGTGGGACATGATAGCCTGTACTTATGTGCTCTAACAAATTTTGCTATGCCAAGAATTTATACTGCTAGACGATGATGATGCCAGAGAACACCTGTCTTAAGATTTAAAAATATGCCTTCCGCGGAATATACCTTTTAGCGCACAGTACACACGCAACCGCCGTCTCTTGGCAATTTATTAAACCGCATCTGCGATGACAACAAACGTCGGCGGAGAAAAACAAACCCTCCAGGGAACCAATTAAACGGTTTGGGCGCGATTCGCCGCGCCTAGTCCGTGAATGGTCGGCTCCTTTGGGGGTTCTGTCGGCGGACGGGCCGGGACGGGCGCGATCAAAGACCATGGCCGACAGCAGTCGAAGGCAGCGGTCAGATTTTGCGGCGTCTTTTCTACTCTCTGTGATATTATATACCCATTACATGTCCACTATTCAAACTCCATTATCCTAAAATTTTGATATTTTAAAATGTTATACAAAACGTGAAAAGATGTCGATCTGACGAAAAAAATGACGCTGGTAGTCCAGTGATACATACACGTAACCGCCAGCTGTTCATTTCTACAGATATACTGTAATGGAATTTCACAGATGCTCAAGACGATACCTTTGTTCTTAAAGTTAGTTTCTTACTGCCATGAAACGCAAAGCTACATGCTTATAAAGCATTTTGAGAAAGAGATCACGGTTCGCGCGAATGTAACGTTTATAGCATAGCCAGACTCAAGGCATTGGTGGTGCCTGCAAAGTCGGGACCGTCGTGGCATTTGCATGATCTTTCCTTACGGAATTTCTTCTCTTATTCACCAAAAGTTGACCCGGGCTACTATATTCAACCTGCAAAACAATATTTCGGAACTACACATTTTACAGCAATATATTTATCTTCTTCATGGAGGATCTAGTTGCGATTATTGTAGAGTAGCTGCTCGTATATCCTTGGGATCAACATCGATAATTCCGGGCCAACCCTAACCCCCTGAAAGTTGTTGGTTGTTCTAGCGGCGTGAGTCATCTGGACCACGGGGGCCGCAAAACAAAAGCTCGGACTTGTGCTACAGAGCGGCCGACAAGCCGCTCAAACGTCGCCGCCACCCCGTAAATCCTCGTTGCCGATTCACCACCATCCCTGGAAGCACGGCCGCCACGCCCCGCTAGAACAACTTTCCCTTTTTAATTACAGGACCTTTCGCTTGTAATTAAAGAGCGCCTGGTTGTGAACAAAGAATCAAAGGGTGGAAAGCCTACATGATGTGTCGACTCGGCCGCCCAAATATTAATACTGGAACCTTTAGGTTCTTAGAGCAGATTCGTGGCAAGAATGTCTGAGGTCAAACAGCGCCGAATCACAATATCCCTGAGCCTTTATACAACCGAAGATATGAAATATTCAACGTTTGGCGGGGACAATACTAGTAAGTTAGACCAAGGTAGAACGTTTTTGTTTGGTTTCAGTAGACCGTAGCATAACATATATACATAACATAATGTACTACATAAAAATGAAACGGCAACTTTCTACTGTATCAAAATGACGACACAATGCAGAAATAGATTTTAACTTTTTAAGTCAATTTTTTATTTATTTTGAAATCAAGAACATTATACTGTAGAATGTCCTTGTGAAAATCAATCAGGATATTTGCGCGGTCGCCACCGTTTGCCAAATCAAGATATTCTCTGCACTTTTTGCCATAGATATAATCTTTAAGGATCTTCACGACCTTTTTGGCAATCGTTGTACATTCTACTACAGTTTGGCGAAGTACGGAAGGACGCTTGTGACATAACATTTAACGAGTGCATTACACATTTACGTCTATCCATACATCCACCCTTCCCTTTGCCTATCAGATATGCACCGGGAACGTTGTACATTTGTATTGCCAATCTAGATGCCAGCGTACTAGTATATATTAATTTGCCCCTTGCTTGAACTACATACTGAGTCCATAATAAAGTAAATATGAGCTCTCTGCACCCGTCACTATTGTAAAATACACTAGTCCGTGTGCTGCACTCGACACGAATTGGCCTCTCGTACGTTCGCTCTAGACATCTGTCCTTAAAATCATTATCAGTACTCAGTGTTACCGGTCACCTGTGTGTTCCGCCTGACCTTGGCACAGTAACTTGTTTTGCACAGAAATCGACACTCAAAGTTTGAGAATACAGACCCCCAAAAAACACAATTTCGCTCGTCAAACATGTACCCAGCTAGATGAGCATATACGTGCACGGTAAGTAGACAGAATGTTCAGGACGTTATACAACTTCGGCAGAAAACACAATCATTTATCTATGCAAGCCACTGACAGGCAGACCGTGTCAAGGTGAAAAGATGGTGTTTGCTTGTCTCTTATGTGTGTGTGTGTGGGGGGGGTCACACGTGATGTCACGTACATAACAGTGACTTCCATTTAGCATTCAACATTCAACAATTTCAAGTCAGGTAAAGACACTTGTTTTCAATAGATAACACCTGTCACACGTACAACCACCCGCCAAAGGTATGAAAGTTATGGTGTTGTTTGGAATGACAAAGATGTAGAAGTGTTAGAGTGTTTGTAGAACAGGATGTCACGTACACTGTATTGACTTTCTATCTGCCTACTTCAACTCGCACTCAATTATAGGTCCGCAGCCTGCGTCAGACATATAGATACAGCGCCCATCTCTACCGGTCAGCTGTGTGGTTCTCATGACTTTAGGACACGACATAAATTGTCCAACAAAACATTTAAGTCCGTCAGACATTACCGAGCCTGAACTGAGCGCAACAAACGGTGAAAGATGCGGCAGTTTGTACTCATGATCGCGGTTGTGATGGCCTGGGCGTCCTCGGTACAAGGTGAGACGGACAGAGTGCGTTTTGGTAAGGCCATTCTCAAAACTAGACTGTCCAAGAGACATGCTTGGCATTACGTATGTCAAGATGACATTGAATTTAGAAGTTATGTAATACTTTGCTGGCGACCTCAAGTGCCCTGCGATATTTTTTCATCGTACACAATTTTTCAATCGAACATTAAGGACGCGCCTACGTTACCTTTACAACTGCGTTCATAATTACATGTATATTAAGTTGGTTCCCTCATTCGTTCGTTCCTTTGCGAAAAGGATAACTCAATGTGAAGTGTATCTTTTTAATGATAGTGGGTAGAGTCGACCTAGCTAGGCCCGTACCCTAGAAGCAATTGCAAATGAATAGTTTGGGAAAAACTTCGATCCGCATCTAGCAATGCTTATGATATAAGCTGTGATCCAAATATCTTTTTCGTCTTCTACGAAGAGAGCCATGGCTTATGTATTTTACGTTGAAATTAAGATAGATATGATAAGTTAAGATAAGTTAGATATGAATTACTAGTATACAAGCAAGAATATAACATTTAGAGTTGTTATGAAAAAATGCTATAATTTTCTGCTCTTTTCTCTTTTGGATCTGGCATATTATAAGTGCTTATGATTCAGGGAAACGAGAGACTTAATGATTTAACACAGCTCTGAAAATAATTATGACAGCTGTGAGTTCCAGAAAGTTTATTTTGTTGAGCCTGAGCAAGGACCTTGGCTTGAGGTGAAAATCGATACAGCGCCCGCGATCTAAACCTAACGGCGGTATATAGCTTCTCCGCGGCACTTCGGACGAGCGTGGCGCGACTGACAGGCTCGGAAAATGGTGCCCCAGATGCCCGCAAACTGCCGCCAGATAGCGCGGGTGGAAGGAGGGCGTGCTCGACATGAAGTCTACGAGTTGCAAGTTACTGTAGCCGACACTAGTAATACCAGAAAGCGACAAGGGCCAGGCAGACATGGGCGAAGGCGGGAATAAGTAGACCCCACTCCCCATACGGGGGCGCATGAGGATTTATCTCTTACTCCTAGTAAAAATGGGTCAGAGGGGTGCTATCTCATCATGTTACTTGTAAGAATATCTAGGTGTTTCTTCTAGTAAAACAATGAGTTAGAGGGGTGCTTCCTCATTATTTTACTAGTGAGATAATTAAGATATTTCTTCTAAGAGAATTTAGACCTTCCTTCTAGTAAAACAATGAGTTAGAGGGGTGCTATCTCATTCTTTTACAAGAAGGAGAATTTAGATATTTCTTCGTAAAACAATGAGTTAGAGGGGTGCTATCTCATTGTTTTACTAGAATGCGAATTTAGATATTTTTTATAGCAAAAAATTAGTAAAGTATAAGAATATCGTTCGCAAATTTAAGGGTCGTGGAACTCTAATAGTTATTGAATTTTTTGTCTGTCTCTCACAAGCCCTGTCGGAGTACCTGACGTCTATAGACCGTTACGGGTTCTACAAGGTCCTTGTGTCGGGAACCATGGACGACGACAACCTCATCGCTACCTGCGCGGCGGCGGGGATGCGGCACGCCTGCTTCCACTCGGGAACCGGCGCCTGTGCCTTCCACTGGAGCCCGGACTGCATCAAGTACGACCACGACGGCGTCAGCTGCATCACCACGGAGAACCTTGCGCAGATCCTGTGCGGAGATCCCGACAAGTTGTACTGTCCGCCCCTTGATGACGTCTTCGTGGTGCGACCGAACTACTGGGGCGAGGTTGTCGGCTGGGGCATAGACGTCGACACCCACCAGCACTTCGGGGACGGAAGCAGCTACAACAACATGTACGCCCTGTGCGCAGGTAAGGCTGGAGGTTGTTATCACACAACATCGGCCCCTGTCACACATAGCCGAATATTATGTGTGTCCTCCCGAACACTAGCCAAGCTAAGATTCGTTCAGCTTTCTTTACACATACATGTATACGTACATACACACACCCTCATCTGTTTTAGAATGTACGTGCATGTTAGACACCTGCACGTCTCGTAGTGCACGCTCCAACCTCCAAGTTAATCAGTTCGTCATCAAGGGATAGACACTGCACTTTGCCTGTCCTGTCAGTATTTCCACACAGTTTATCAGCGAGGATCTCGTGGGTACTAGTAACACAGCTGACATCGCCGAAGCCCGGAGTCCAGAGAAGCAAAACCTGTCAGTGAGTGGTTACATATATACATATCCCATGTCTGCCTCACAAGCAGCCTTTATATTAACGCTCGACATGGTTCCCGACACAGGAACGTTGTAGAAGCCGTAACGGTCTACAGAGACCAGGTACTCATGTTGGCCTTGTGAGAGACAGAGACAAACGTTCGCATAATTGCTGGGTTCTACCACCTTCGTGAACGATAATTGTAGACTTTTCTGAGTTGTTTAAAAACAAAATCAGAAACCAACTCAAATTGTAAAGGTAATCTTATCGACATCTCGTCTAAAATCCCACAGATTACAAAACGCATACAACAGTGAGCATTTAGCGTTTACCATGGCCTGGTCAGGTCATTTGTCTTTCAGAAACATCGCATAGGTTCCCTCATGCCAAAGAAAGTATCAGAGTGTCTTCATGGTACAAAGAATAGTATCATAGTGTATAGGAGTATTTTAGAAAGGTTTATTCACTTGCTAAGAGGTCACGTACACTATATCAAAGAGCTTGATCAAACCTCCTTGACTATATTGACTTGTTATATCTGTCTGTCTATATGCTAACTCAGACCAATAAACGGCCGCAGTTGTGCGTCAGGTGTATTAATAGTTCATCCCTACCGGTCAGCTGTGTAGTTCTCATGACCTTAGAAATGTCAGGCTCAAAAACAAGTCCATCACCCACTACCGAGTATAAACTGAGCGCAACTAAGGGTGAAGATGTGGCAGTTTGTACTCATGATCGCGGCCGTGACGGCCTGGGCGTCCTCGGTACAAGGTGAGACGGTTACGATCTCGCGCGAGTCAGTCGGGGGTATCGTCACTAGAAAGCTTTGAACAACTCTTGCAATTAAATGTGCAAAGATTGGATGTTACATGTCGTTCGGGATACTATAGCTAGCTGCCACCGCGCCGCGTGCCTGCGAAGCTGGTGTGTTACGCCGAAGGGCGGTAATACCGGCTGAAGAGATGTCCTTTAGTACCGATACAGAGTATTGCCGAGTAGGGTGCGTTTTTTGGCAAGGTTCTACTCAAAACTGTACGTTAACGTTGTCCCAGAGATGGATGTCTTGTTTGTTGCATTTTTTCAATGACAAATGCGGGTAGGCCAGGCCAAGATTTTGTTTTTAAACAATTATACGAAAAGCCTACGATTTTCGTCCACGAAGGTCGTAGAACCCAGCTGTTATCCGAACTTTGTCTCTGTCTCTCACAAGGCCAACATGAGTACCTGGCCACTGTAGACCGTTACGGCTTCTACAAGGTTCCTACGTCGGGAACCATGTCGAGCGACCACATAAAAGCGGCTTGTGAGTCAGCTGGCATGAGGTATGTATGTAACAACTCCGGTTCTAACCATTGTGACCACCACTGGGAAAAGGGGTGCATCCAATACGACGGCAGCGGCGTCAGCTGTGTTACCCACGAGATCCTCTCCAATGAACTGTGTGGAGATACCGACAAAGTGCACTGTCGGCCCCTGGACGACACCTTTGTGGTCAACCCGCGCTATTGGACTCTGACTGTCGGTTGGGGCGTGGACTACCAGACCGCCTCGGGCGGCCTGGTAGGAGCATATTACAGCAACATGTACGCCATATGTGCAGGTGAGGTTTGTGCTTAACCAATAACTCATTTGCTGCAATAAAAGTACATTTGAACCACTTCACCACTTTCCGTGATTAGTAATAGTATTGGAATTATTGTATTCATAATACATTTCTTCTGATGTCCAGTTTCCGAGGGTCTACAGTACATGCCCTGTATGAACGGAGGAACTCTGGACAACTTTGTCTGTCAGTGTCCGCCTTGGGCCACCGGATTCAAGTGTGAAACAGGTGGGTTCATGCTCGTATTTACCCCTTTACAGTCACAAAGGCCCCATTCCCACTAGGATAAAATTGTCCGCATCGATCCGGCTCGAAGTCGGATCAAAACGAATCAATTCGGATCGATCCGGACAATTTGAATGGGGCCAAACAGAGCCACGAAGTCATAAGATTTGTTTTTAATTTCACCATGAACTCGACGAAAAAACGACACATACAATATAACACGTCCATATTTGTAAATCAGTCTATATCCTACCTATTACTTTCAGGTAATCTCGAGTTCAATGCTCGAAGTGACCAATACTAGAGCGTTGAAGTTTCTAACCTTTAAAGATAAACGTATATATTTTCAGACAGGATAGACGACTGCCAGGGCTCGCCCTGTCAGAACGGCACCTGTACCGATCACCCGGGCTTCTACACCTGCCGCTGTGAGCCGGGATGGACGGGAGTCAACTGTGATACAGGCGAGATGATTTTTAGACTTAAATCTAAAACAAAACATGCTCATGTCTTCATATCACCCATCTTCATAACCGGAGATACATGTAGGTGCCGCCCTATGCTCACCTGGTGCGGGAAGGACTTAAACTTTTCACCTTCAACGTGTCTTCATATAACATAATGACGCCAATGTAACGTCTTTTCGCTCTAAGATGAGTTTGAGTATCTGCAAAACAATCTCTAATGTTAGACCTGACTGTATTTCAACATGCAGACAACGTAAGATCTATCATGTATACATCTTGAAGTTAAAAAGGTGTTTGCAGATTCATATCCCTCAACGGATTCAATATGCCAATCAATGTGAAATGTTTGTAGTATGGCAGTACATGTGTTTGATTTGATATCATATGTACAGAGTAAGCATGTTAGAAGTTAAGGTGTTTACTGATATATTTTTCATATCCTTCAATGTGCACCTCAATGTATACTGTTTGTAGTATTATTACCAAGACAGTAATGCTACAAACGTCTTGAATAAACCACATGCATTTTACAGAAATGGTCGACGAGTGTCTGACCTCTCCCTGTCTTCATGGCGCATGCGTGGATCACCTGGGCGGCTACACCTGCCGATGTGACTCGGGGTGGACAGGAGTGAACTGCGAAACAGGTGAGCAGGTTAAAGTTGTGGATGCTACATGCCTAGCCTTAGCCTGGGTGCCACCCTCTGTAGTTTCGTAGAAAAATGATAAAATGTGTTTTTTTACATTTAAGGACAATTTGTTTGTTTTGAACCACATATTTACTTTATTTAGTTCTTCATTCACGACGATTACTAAACTATTAAGATTCTTGTGAGACATAAATACATTTTTGTCGTCTGAAAAAGAAGAGTAAATAATTTTTGTGAAACATGTGGTAAATCGTTTGTATAAATAAAAGAAATAGTAAGGGTCCCAAAATAGATCCTTGAGGAACGCCACATGTAAGTAGGTTAGGACGTGACTTGTAGATACTGTTCGGTACTACTTCATGTCTCACAGTCTTTCTGTCTGTCTATTTGCCTTTCTCTCTCTCAATCTCTCTCTCTGTCTCCTTCCCTCCCTCTCTCTACATATGGCACACAGTCCTTTTCATTGACAAGTTTAGAAACTTAATATATCATTAAGCTGACCACCGATTTCCTGACGTTTACTTTACAGAACTGGTGGACGAGTGTTTGAGCAACCCTTGTTACATGGGCGCATGCGTGGATCACCAGGACCACTACACGTGCCGCTGTGACCCAGGCTGGACAGGAATCCACTGTGACGTAGGCGAGTCGGGTAGAATTGTGTCAACTTGTAGAACGTTAACAGACAGAATATGTACTCACCAAGCAGAGGTCGATAGGGGAAGATCGTTACCTTTTTATATGCCCCGTTTTTTTTGTCGCTACCGGTGGGGGTAGCGACAAAAATGGGGCATATACAAAACTGTAACGATTTTCCCCCACCAACCTCTGCTTGGAGAGTAAAACTATACACATACTCTGCATGTCTCTGCAAGACGCAAAATACCACCATATAGTAAAAGTCACTTTCGGCTATCAACACTTCAATGGTTTATTTGGTGTACTTAATGGCATCTTCATATCCGTGGACAGATCTCTAAAGACAATGACTGTCCCTATGTATGACTGTATCGACAACACATCATTTTGCCTTACGACGCATTGGTTAGGGGTTGTTATAGATCGAATTGCTGACATTTTAAGATACATGCGTTCCAGATATGGTGGACGAGTGTGTGAGCAACCCTTGTCTGATGGGCGCATGCGTGGACCATCAGGACCACTATACCTGCCGCTGTGACCCCGGCTGGACGGGGGTCAACTGTGACGTAGGTGAGTCGGTTACAACTGTGTCCACTTGTAGAAGCTACAAATACTACTTATTTAGTTATCAATTTATTGATCTTAAAAACGGTTGGGTGGTACCTTCAGTTTAGGACAACTGATTTCCAAGGTAGCCCAACATAAGACAGAACAAGTTACAAAGGACATACATGTAAACAATAAATTACTTAAACATAGAGATAATAAATCATTGGAAACAGGACATATCAACCAAAACAAATGGTCAAAATAATAAGGCATAATCATAGTTCGTGTCATTCTAGTCCTACTACTAGATATACACGTCTTCACGGGGCTCCATAATTAATGTACTGCAGCAAATGGTCTCTTTTCCGTCCAAAGGCATCGTATTTACATACAATAATGTACATGTTGATCATAGTGTTGAAGAGGAGACCATTGTTTTGTAAGAAATTTAGATCTTTGAAGCTGAGAGGATAAGGCTTGTTTTTTCCCCAATGTTCATCAACATCTCATCGTGAAACACCTAAACATTTTTTACTATTACCAAGGCTCCTCCGTATACAGCGAAGAGATCAGTGAAGAAGAGAAGTGATTGAGGTGTTCAAGAATTCATTCTTTCCTAGAACTATTGCAGAGTGGAACTTACTGTCACCAAGTACAGTAGGGGCATTGTCATTAGATAGCTTTAAACAAAGTCTAGAGCTAGAAGTTCTAGGGTTAGGTGTAACAAGTCGATCGGTGTAATATAGCCAGCTGCCGCCGCGCCGCGTGCCTGCGAAGCTGGTGTGTTACGCCGAAAGGCGGTTATACCGGCTATACAGATACAGATATTCTAAAACTCGCGCTCTTTACAGACATGGTGGATGAGTGTCAGAGTAACCCTTGTGTGAACGGCGCATGCGTGGATCACCAGAACCACTACCACTGCCAATGTGACCCCGGTTGGACAGGAATCCACTGTGACGTAGGTGAGTTAGTTACACACGTGTCTGTGTATAGGAACAGCATACGTGTGGGCAAACATCAAAGTACCAATATATCTCAATCAGCTCTTGTTTACATCACAATAGAGAATATAGCATGGGTCTTATTTCTTTGAAACTTCATTTTCAATACAAACATAGCAGACAAAAGTCTGAATTGCGTTAGTATTTACACGCCATTGAGCTCGTTTTATATTATAATACACAAACTGTGGGTATTTACAGTTTTAAAAGTAAATTCTTAATTTCTATATTAAACAAATTGGCATCTCTTAATGATTAAAAGATTAATTACCTATTAAAAACTCGTAGTTTAACATAGATTGATAACAAGATAAGGGCAAACAGCAGATATGAAGATTCGAAATTCAGAAAGTTTGTTACAAAGTTTGTTCATTTCCTTGTTTTTTTTTTTTATTAAAACACATATAAAGAAATACAGACACGATGACGGCGTACTCAAGTTGGGCTAACTTATATTGGCGCCGCCATCAAACAATAAACTTAATTAAAAAATAAAGCGATACATACACTAACGAATAAATACAATACACAAAACAAGACAGATGGGGTTTAAATAAAGAATGAAACTAAGAAAACTAAAAGCGCAGGTCGCATATAATCTTCTACTCATCTCGTATGTAATTCTCTAGCCATCTTGTATGTAAACTTCAAGCCATCTCGCATGTAATCTAGAACTTAATAGAAGTATCGTTTCCTCAGATATGGACGACTGTAGCAGCTCGCCTTGTCCTTCCAACTCCACGTGCGTCGATGAAGTGAATGGATACACCTGTCAGTGTGCGCCTGGGTGGGAGGGGGATCAGTGTCAGACAGGTAGTACGACTTCTTCCACTTTCTTTCTTCAATCCCTGGAAAGTTTTGGTCATTTTTTTTTCGTGTAGAATGAGAAAGGATGTCGCACTGTCTACGACGACTAAGAACAATTTTCAAGTGCTTCATAGAACAGATCGACCTAGCGGGACCTGAACATGTCTACAGCCGCAATGCATCAGATCCTTATTTCTGCAGGATGATTTATTGACATAGAAACCTTAAGTTGATACCGTTTATTAATTCGTAAGTGTCTATAATATAGCCTGGTTACTATATAGCATATAGCTATATAGGAAAGATCAGGGAGGGCTACGAGTGGGGGCAGATATAATATGGAAGATCAGGGAGGGCTACGAGTGGGGGGGAGGGAAGATCAGAAAATAAAAGAACCATTTCCAAGCTCTACATAGAACAGATCGACCTGTGCATGTCTGCAGTCGCCATGCATCAACTCCTTATTTCTGTGGATGATGGAATGATATACAAGTCTTAAATTGATGCCGTTTCTTAATTCTTAAGTGTCTACCTGCATCCATCGTTCACAGATATAGACGAGTGCAGCACCTCGCTGTGCCCAGCAAACGCCACCTGCGTGGACGGCGTCAACAGCTACACCTGCCTGTGCAAACCTGGCTGGACCGGAAGCAGCTGCGAAACAGGTGATTAGGCGACACGGACTTAATTTTATGGATTTTATGGGCGAATAAAAAAAAATTCCGGCGAAAAATAAAAATGCTACTAAACCACAGGAACACAAAGCTGGTATTGAGAATTTGCGGCAGTACTTAGAGACGTATACGACTTTCTTTCTTTCTTTCTTTCTTTCTTTCTTTCTTTCTTTCTTTCTTTCTTTCTTTCTTTCTTTCTTTCTTTCTTTCTTTCTTTCTTTTTGAGAACAGGCGAAAATCAATGCGCGCGCGGATGTCATCCATAAAATTAAGACGGTGTGGCCTTACAGTGTTATAGCAAACCTGAAATTTTTCTCCGTCATCTCAATTTTGTTTGACGTAACATGTTGAGCGCCGAAAGTATGAGGCATCAAGCCAGCGACAATCCTGAAAGAGTCGGGGGCATGAAATTTAGGAATCTGAAACACTATTTCTTGCATTTTTATGGGCAAATCTTGCTGGTATTCCATATCTTTACATGCCGATTTCACCAACAAAAAGTGCACAATTTTTTTTTGCAAATGAACTTTTATACAGTTATACCATTCAGACAACTTTATTTCATGCTGTACATGGGGTTTCAATGTAAAGAGGAAGGAAAGGGGGTGACTTATGATTCTATTGTACAATAAGAAAAAGAAATATGACGTTGTGATCCGATTTGTTTAATGTTTGTAGAAATCAACGAGTGCGCAAGTAATCCGTGTTTGTCTGACGGGACGTGCGTGGACGAAGTGGACGGCTACAAGTGCATCTGTCCGGAGTGGACCACGGGAGCCAACTGTGAAACAGGTCAGCTTCTCATTCGCCTTCCTGCTATGCAAAACAACAAGTGTCCAACAACCTGTACAGTGGGGTTGACAGTAGTCTCTGCCAGACTAACTACGCTGGCTATATATAGGAGAATATTTGCCGGGGGAGTTTGGCCGCCTTGTAGGTTTGACTGGGCCGCGCAGTTTGGAGTTCGGAGGGAAAGAAACTACCTCCCCGCGGCCGGACTCCCTTGGCCAATTTTACTCTTTTTTTGCCGAATTCTACGATCCGTATTCCCGTAGAAAGGCCTGGTTGAGGCTAGGTTGACAGTAGGCTTGGAAGCAACTGCCTGTTCCTTGGTTGACATACATGTATTGTATTACATTTATTGCTACAGTTCTCTTCAGCCACGTGTGCTACATGTTCTCGCTCGACACCCTGTCCCACAAAGACGCGGCCGCTGCCTGCACCACCATGGGAGGACACCTAACGGACGTGCACAATACACCAGACCAGCAGATGATGGCTTTCTTCATCAGCCACGGCAGCGACGTCTCCCACTGGACCGCCGCCATGACGTCGGCTGCGTCCTTGATCTCTAGCGACGGTTCTCCAGTGTCTAGTAAGGTTTTGCTTCAACTCTCTGTGGCCTCTATCGGTCATCATGTCCGCAGAAGACCCCGTAATATGTTGTGCATAGCACGTTGGCGGAGCATCTCGCTCAAGGTTGTATTCGTGTATTTAAATATGGCATCAAGTCTGTTGTTTTTAAATGTTGTCAAGGAAAAGATATCGTCTGTAACGATCAAGAGTCTGATGCAACGTTGACGAAATGGGCTTTGAAGTCCCAAGTCTGTGGTTCAACTACGACAGGAATAAGGTGTAGATTTATGATTGGTCAATCGGTAGAGTGCTCGCTTTGTAACCGAGAGGTCGTGAGTTCAAACCCCGACCGGGTCATACCAAAGACTTCAAATTGCTCCATACTGTAGTGTAACGGAAATGAAAAGAATACAGTAGTGTAACGGAAATGAAAAAGAAACCTACTGCTTTCTCTGCTTAGTACTCAGCATCTATGAGAAAGAGTATAAAAAGGTCAAACACACACCACTACCAGCGGGCTAGCCCCCTGCTGTAGTGATTGCACAACTGTGTGGCCCAAGGGCTACAGAAATGGAGATGGGTGCCAGCTCTATGCTCTGCAATAGAGTGGAACGGGATGGGGGATGGGGCTGAAATATTGAACACTATCAAAGACATGCATAATCTTGAACACTATCAAAGACGCTTTTGAAGCAAACGATTCCAGTGTAACATCCTTTTGCGTTGTTCCTAGGTTCCACCTGGATGTCTCCGGACGCCTACGGCCCGTATGACCAGTGCGTGCTGCTGGACAGTCAGACTAACTACCAGGGAAACTATCACGTCTGTTCCGAGGAACACAACTACATCTGTGAATCCTGTGAGTGCTCAAGTACTCTATAAAATCGCTCCTTAGGTAACTTTCTGACATTCCAAGAACAAATGCTCTAGGTGGGGTCGTGTGGCGTAGCGGCAGAGTGCGCGACTCGGAACTGAGAGTCCCGGGTTCGAGTCCTGACATGCCACCGATCTTGTGCCCTTGGGAAAGGCACTTTACACGACTTTCCTCACTTAGCTCAGGTGTAAATGAGTATTGTCCTGTCATGTATTTGTCCCCTATGTTGGTGGCGGCATTAACATAAGTTGAAAAAAACTTGAGTGTGTCGTCACCACGTCTGGTGATTACATGTTGGAATAAAAAAATGCTCCACCTCTAATGACGATACTTTCCAAAACGCGTCACTGTACAGGTTTCGTTTATCTTTTATGTTGTATATCTGTTGATATGTAGTATATATACTACATCTGTTCAATATTCGAAGAAAAAGGATACAAGAAGTTGGAAAATAATCCGTTTGTGTTACCAGTATGTTGGACATTTTTTTTAATTTTTGTGTTTCCTCCCCATGCAGATACTAAGGATTGCCAGCTGTGTCAGAACGGAGGCGTCTGTACCTCCTGTTTCAACAACTCCGTCGTGAAGTGTGAATGTCAACCAGGGTTTACCGGTGACCTGTGCGAGAAAAGTAAGGCCCTACCGTCGTCAATAACGTCAACAAACAAACAAATACACATACACACGAACAAACAAACAAACAAACAAACAAACAAACACAAAAACGAGTTTAAGCTTGCACTCTCCGTACTCCTTAGTACTTACTAGTACCATGGGAAACATCTCAACGTCTTCATTAGAAATGTATCATGTGCGTAAGCCGTTGATCACACTTTGCGTGTTATATTGTACGACGTGTCGGTGTAAACTGTTTGTTATCACCGTGACAATACATGTAGTCAATGGCCTTTTTGATAAGTCCTTTTAATCTACGGGCCATTTTGCTGTTCATTTGCACTTTAAACGAGTGACTCCAATCATTATAAAAGTATGCAAGTTTTGATGTATCAAGAGTTTATATCTGTAAAGGTTAGGCATCCAGGTAATAAGATACTCTAAAAACAGTCACTCAAATTGTTTGAAGAGTATCAAGACAAGTCTCCGATGTCACTGACGAAAGGTAGTGGATGCTACCTGAAACGTCTGACCGTTTCCAAAATCATATCCAGTTGCTTGAGTAACTGTTTTTGGCGTATCAAGAGTTTATTATGATCTGTTTCCGAGGTACAAAACAACACTAATGCAATTGCACATGGTACAATGTATGTATATGGCAAACTACATAAAGAAAGTAACAAACAATAAAATGAATGTAATGAATAAGACCTAATGTCGAATAAAACATATCTTGATTACTCAAACAATAAGAACTAGCATAAGTCTTTGATAAAGTGTTACAATCGAGTGGGCTAATCACAGTGTCTCTGAACTGCTCCACAGACATTGACGAGTGCGCATCCTCGCCTTGCCAAAACAACGGCACCTGCGTTGATGGCGTGGATAAATTCGATTGTGTCTGTGACCGAGGCTACACCGGGGTTTTGTGCGAGCAAGGTAGTATCGTTAAATATGAAGTTTGCTTTATAAGAACTCGACTGGAAATGACTCATAACTCATCATTTTTGTATTAAAAACATGTATAGTACACTGATATATGTTTAAAGTTAAAACTTTCGAGCCAAAACTGAAAAACCTCTCTCACCTAGAGCTTTCTACCAATCACTCTCAGTCTTCCTCAGTAGACTGACCCAGTGAGGCTTGTCACGTGGCGTCTTTGAAGTGTGATGTCAACACTGGGCCAAGGATGTCGGTAGACGATGTCGGCCCCCGTCACGGTTAAGTGATTATTTACGCAACATAACTATTCATGTGTTTTTTTTCTGTAGATCTGGACCTGTGTCATCCCAACCCGTGTCCATACGGCTGGACGTGTGTGGACAATGTTCACGGCCTCAGTTGTGAAAGTAAGCCTTATTCACTGTTTCTTGTAGAGTAGTATTTTATCGATGGCTTGAGGAGGCGGCCACGGGCGGTGAACTGTTCTCTCAACGGCCAAACTCCCTTGGCATGCTTATCTCTCTATTTTGGCCGATTTCTACTCTTTCCAGCCGCCTCCTCAAGCCTGATAGAGGCTAAGCACAACCATCAGTGGAGTCGTGTGGCGTAAAGACACAGCGTTCGGCTCGGAACCAAGAGTTCGAATCCTGACATGCCACCGATCTTGTGGCCTTGGGAAAGGCATTTTATACGAATTTCCGCACTTAACTCAGGTGAAAATAAGTATGTCTGTTGTCCGTTGGTGGCGGCATAAAAATAAGTTTAGTGTGCCGTCACAATGTATTGTAATAAATGTTGAAATAGAAAAAGACATGATATTGATATTTACTAAGTTAGATATTTCTGTTCCTGCTTTAATTTCTTGTTATCCCATCGCTGTTCAACCCCCACAGTCCCTGTCCGGGGAGCCGAGACTGAGTACTGCACCAAGTACTCTTGCGGTCCTGGCTGGCACTGCAGGGAGGACGGCCCAACTGGATTCTCCTGCATCACTGGCTAATACGTCACGTGACCACCTGCTCTTCTTCCGTTGATTCAGCTTTAGCTACTAATTTCTTTTGAACGTCGTCATCAGTGTGACATCCATACAAGAACATGCAATACGACTTGAAGTGTGCACAACATTTCCTTCATCAAATAAAGCATCTCTATAATTAATTCCCGTTTTATTGCTCTTTTGATACCACTTGCAGTATGCTTGGTTTGAGGCAGTATTATGTACAATATTGACTTTTATAAGCACTAGAAAATATAGATCACTTATCGGAAGGTACGTTACGTCTTCAAATGGGGAACATTGCGTAGGACGGGGACACAACCTCTGTATACGAGGTGAATCCAAAACGTACACAAAGAAAAACTTTTGCATTCAAGTTTTACAACTACGGCGCGCGAACTTCAGGACGCTAATAAACATCTATTGTAACTTAGTTGATCGTCGATTTTATGCATAACTTCCATGATCACACCGCTTTTCCCTAGACTCTACCAGACTAACTACGCTGGCTATATATAGGAGAATATTTGCCGGGGGAGTTTGGCCGCCTTGTAGGTTTGACTATGCCGGAGGGAACGAAACTACCTCCCCGCGGCTGGACTCCCTTGGCCAATTTGATTCTCTTTTTTGCCGAATTCTACGATCCGTATTCCCGTAGAAAGGCCTGGTGGAGGCTAGATTTTCCTCATTTTTGAAAACTGTCACGTTCTCAAGGGCTCCCACACCCGAATTTCACTCTTATTTCGTGAATCCAGACGCTAAATTTACTTCCATATGTCCCGTTAACCGTCGCCGTGGCAGTGAACCACAGCGTTGCCATGGTGAGGGAACTTTTACAAGTCCAGTAGGTTATCGTCGTAATCTTCACAGTCCATGTCCTCTGGCTGCAGTCCTGTACCGGACCGCTTGGTGTCGTCTGAAGAGGGCTGACTCACAGTGACGTACTGTATTGGTGGCTGTTGTGCACCACTGCTGTTGCCTGACATGCCTGATGTCACCTGTATAGGTATCCTTGGGTCTTCATCTATCCACAACACACAAACAAGTCACCGTTGGTCACAAAACAACTACATGTATTAGTAAGTTTTTAATCAATGGCAGCAAGGTTTATTACACGTTTTGAGAAAAGGGCGAAGGACAGAGCAAAACGTCACTTTCTTTCGAGGTGAAATATTGTGAAAATGACGTCCACAAACACGTGTAATATTGTCGTATTGTAATATGGTATCGATCATTTTGTTATAAGTAATTTGCTGCAATTTTCCATCATGGGACATGGATGTATTGGAAAAGGTAACCTGTCAGAAAGTGATGCGAAAGTGTTCCCTCCAATGATCTAGCCGTGTTTCTATGAATGAGAATTTCCTACCTTTTATGTTCTCGGCTATTTCCCCCAACTCTGCGTCGTCCAGTGCTTTCCTCAGAACCTCAAGAGTGGCCCGCCTGCCGTTTTTCATTCTCCACAGGTGCAGCACCTTCATACAGCATTCCTTCACTATGCCCTTCTCTTCAGCCTCGATGCGACCGATTTTGACTTCGTCTATTTTCAATTTGCGCGCAAAGTCCTTCCATTTCTCGGCTGGGATGTCCTCGGCGACGTCGTAAAAGTACTTTGATACTCCTTGAATCAAAACATACACATTATTCAATCCATTGCTACCCATAGAAAACATGTTTCGTCAATACAAAATCGGCTTTGAGTTGTAAAGTTGTATAGGGGGCGCTTCTCTCCATGGCCTGACTTTGGAAACATAGTGTGATAACATCCTTGACGGAACAGTAGACGCTAATGTTCTCGATGATATTCTTACATCAGATTGTACACTATAAGTTATATTACTACTAGTACAAAGATAAAGCCAGTTTAGGTTGCCAGATAGACGTAATCATATCAGCGTTTAACAATACTGAAAGTAAACTACGTAGTTTCGGCAGGCGCCTACTTCCGGGTTCAAAAATACATCGTTTGAAGTGAATCTAGCACATTATATATAAAACCCTTGACGTTTTAGACACCACATACGACCACTAATACACCTTCCTAGAAATGAAAACACATGAAAACAGTACCTTGTCTCCCTCGATTGGCCATGCCAAAAACACGTCCAGGGGTTCTTCACAAAAGATCCAGCGCGGTGCCGATTTTCAAACGTTGCCCATGTTACTTTCTGTTGAGATGTACGATGTTCGAAATCTTGACAGGCCCTTAAGAAGTCTCAAGACGCTGTAAGGTTCCACTGTATAACCCTAAGAGTACAACGAAGACGGCGAGTATTGGACAATGTTCACACCGTCCTCAGTATGAATCAGCAGCTTGTGGAATTCCCCTGCATAAATCCCGCCCGGGACTTCCCCCAATGATCATGATACCGAAATGATACTACACACAGCAAAAACCAAGTTTGGGAAGCTTTGAACCGTAATAGTTTCAGTGCTTTAATTTCTGGACATATATAAAGAAACACACTATGTGTCTTAAACCTGATGACTACTGTTTACCTTACCTGTATACACCTGTATGTCACTAAGGAGCACGGTTCACGTTACCGTTTCCTACGGTCAAAGGTTGACGTTTCTGATTGGTGAACCGTAACATGCATTGGAATGAACCATTTGTACGTCTGGGGGTAGTTTTGTTTTGTTGGTCGACGTCAGTGCGCGAGAAAAATGTCAATAGTCTTCAAGTGTGAAAAATGAAAGAGCATAGTGTTAACGTTATAGTAGTTTATTATCACGTAGACTATGTTTAACTATATTTGAATACTGCTTACAATATCTTAAACCGGTTCCGATTTCTGCACGGAGTGTGCAGACTGAGCGACAAAAAACAACAAGAACACAAACATAAAACTCGCTATTTCACTTCGAATGAACATAGGAGTCCGCGCATAGCTGGTCCGAATATATAGGGATTCATATCTCCTGTCAGAACATGTCAATATAGTTGTCTACTCCACAAACAAGAAATCGGAGATTTAGATTTCAGACGCCAGGGAAGTACTAAAGTTTTCGTAAAAATTAGGCCATGTTGATTTGATTATATGATTAAACTGATGCGCGCGTGCGAATAAAAAAAAAGTTTTGCAAAAAAAAAGTTGTTTTCATTATGAAATCTACGTGGTCATGAGGGTTAAACAAATGGGACAGAATATGGTTTGGCGAATAATCTAATCTTCAAGTTCATTTCCTTTCAATTTCGTCTCTTTTCGTTTGATTTTGGCATTCTACGACATTGGTATAGTTTTTACTTTTTTTTTGTAACTTACGGTATATTTTTGCTCATTTTGCAACTGTTTTGTACGATTTACAGTATGGTTGAAAACTTTTTTTTTTTTTTTGGAAACGGCCGAAAATTCATGCGCGCGCGGATGTCATCCATATAATCAAATCAACATGGCACAACTAAACAGATGGTCTGACGTGACGTACTAGGTCAAGGACAGAAATATTGCATGAAAGGCCAGGAATCTACGCTTTTAATAGCCTAACTTAACTGCGATATTCCCTAAGTGGGTAACCCTAGTGACTTGCAGTATGTGGATGGGGACTTGAGTCAAACTTTGCGCACATGCGCAACTACAGCTTCAGGGTCACCCTCTTTAAAATCCTTCCTCATCTCTGCGATTGCGCAGTAGGCATCCGTCAGATAGTCGTCCTGTTTGTCGGTCGGTATGAACTTGAGCTGAGGCAGCATCGTGCGCATGACGGCTTTCAAACCCTCCGGGTCGGTCGGGAAAGACTTGGGCGGCGCAGGCTGTCCGTTACACGTCAGAACTTCAAACCCCACCTCCTCAAACAGGTGGCCCATCCCCTCAATGTCATCATTGGGCCACGGGTAGATATTGTAGGTGAAATCTTTCAGGTAACCTCTCCACCTGGGCAGATCTAACTTGCCTATTTGAGCCGCTGACTCCAACAGACAGTTGATCACCAGCTCTCCTCCAGGCTCAAGACAGGAGGCGATGTTCTTAAAGGCGCTTCGTTTGTCTTGGATCCAGTGCAGGACGGTGAAGCAGGTGGCTTTGGTGAAGGCACCCTTCCACTCCGGTTTGAAGTCGGCGGACTTAGAGGCGTCGGCCACGTGGAAACTGACGTTCTCAGCAGCGTTGTTCTTGGATGCGAAACTGTAAAACAAGATAAAGATGAGCAAAAAAAAAATGTTCACTCAACTTGGGACGGGGGGGGGGGGTCCAGACAGTAGTTGACTGATTCCTATTATTGTATTGTACTATCCTTTTCTCTTTTTCTCTGTAATAGCAGTTAGCATTCGGGCATGATTTTAAAAATAGTATTAATTTTGAACTAACATCAATGACACAAATGGTACCTGATGAAGTCTGAGGACAAGTCGATCCCGACCACAGACTTGACTCCCGGCTGCTGAGACATGAGTTTGGTGATCTCTCCGGTACCAGAGCCGACATCCAGGACAACATCACCCTCTCTCCACGTGATGTACCTGCGAAAAAAACGTAGGTGCAGATAGAAGAACAGGCTATAGGCTAGAACGGTTCCGCACAACTTTGTTACTTCTAAAAGAGTAGAGTCCTGCCCCGCATGTTCTACAACGCAACTTCAAATTCCTATTGAAAAGTGAATTCTATTTCTGTTACGTCGATGAAGGTTTGACATCAAGGTAATATAATATAAGATACGCCAACATCATATCCAGTTGCTTGAGTAACTGTTTTGGGTGTATGTCTGATTCTTTTAATACTTTGGCATCTAGTGTCATCAATATTGAAACAGCGTCATCCTACCTGTTTATAAGATCCATCGCCACCTTCTGTTGTCCTTCCCGGTTCTTCGCATACTCTTCGGCGTTTTCAATATCCATGGTTAAACTGGGAACAAATGATTCATTGTCATTTCACAACTTCAACGATACTTTCAAGTACTACATTGTTAATACTAATATCCACAGTGTGACTAGTATCTAGACTTACAGCCTGCAAAGTGTTGCCTGTGGCAAGCGTCTCGTATACTGTAGTACCATACAGACCCATGGATGTGTTAGACCTGAGGTACTTGTAAAACCACTGGTGGCCGTACTTGAAACGCCATGTAGCGATCGACCCTTTAATTGCATACAAAGAACACTCCGTTCGCGGTTTGTTTACACAAAGTTGTTCCCATGCCACCATGCATGCAGTTGAGAGGTAAGATGTTACACCGTATCTAAACACCGTCAATCAGTGCCTTCGAGGGGGTGTATCCAGTTTGTACATCAACACGACTTTTCTCTCTCTCACCAACAGAACAGATCCTTGACATTTTCTGTCATTGAACCAAAACTTCCCACACCTTTTGCATAAAGGATACATGCATCATTAAGCACTTTAGACGAACCAGAAAAAAACGGCAGGAAAACGAAATGTGTTAACTTTCTGTACATTACACAATGCAGCATAATTATCGACAGTTACGGAAACGTACTATCGTAGCAAAAGCTACAAAACCCTCAATTTCATAACCTACAAAACAAAACCTTCGTAACCTGTCGCACTGGTGATGGAAACGCGGACGCACCAGAGTACGTGATTCAATTTGCAGAGGGATCAAAATGCAGTGACCATCCGGGAACCCACAAAAGAACACACATGACTGGTTTTGTCTTCTACTGGTCTTCCCCATGTTTAACCTACCACTGAGACACTATTGCTGATACAAAATGCTCGGTAACTTTCTGTACCGCGACCACTTGTTGTCATAAGTTTTCTTCTAGAAGACCAACTCACCTTCAGTCTTAATTCCTCGTGTTTAGTCTCCTTGTGGTGTTTCTTGGCCGTTCTTGGAGCAGAAGCTGTGGACTGATAAGGAATGCCGACGTCTTTACCTGACCCAGATGTGACTTGTCTGCTTCGTTGACTGACGGGAAAAGACTAAAGGAGGATCATGCAAATTACATGCGGGACCCTCCGACAAAGATTTCCTGGCAAGGGGTCGTCTCAGAGGTTCACGCTTTTCTCAAAGGAGTCTTCGAGTTTCTACTTCAAACATTCCAGAAATGACTATCGTTGTATCGTTGACAGGTGTTTGCCATCCGTTTGGGCAACATACTAGTATGTCATACCATATACTGAAAATAACCGGTATAGGAGAACACAAAGTAATAAAAAAGACGTAGTTTTAACTTTAGATACCAGAGTCTTTATTGATTTTGAAAAAAAGTCCGGAAGGACCTCATGGAACTCAAGTGACGCACAAATAACGATATTAGTCACCCCATCAACTTTAGTTCTTAAAAGAAATGCGATATCATTCTATAGCTAACATTCCTTCTACATCAGAGGTACCGGTGGATAGTTTAATAGGTCGGAATGTGGACTACATAAGGAGACAGGAAAAGTATAGCGAATAGAAACTTTCAGCATTTCCGCGCCGTGTGTTATTATAAACCATTGGCATGAAGGTTGGTTAGTCACTCGTGTCCCAGAAATACGGTTGCCTAGTCTCTTTGTCAGTATGACACATCCGACTGGATCATAATTCATATGAGGCGGAAAAGGCACTAACAAACGATACCGAAAATCATGTACAATGTAATACTATATTCTGCAAAATGAGAACAGACTTCACAATGAAGCAGTCACTCCCCCATATGGCTGATACATGTATTATGGTTCACGCACTTAATAATCATAATCGTGGATACGGAGCATATCAGACTTCGTCTCAGACGAACAAGAATATATAATTCAGTTACATCTTACACTGTATGTGTAGTAGTATTCCACTTTATCTACCATGCATGACGTCTACATCATACGGGAAGGGGAAGTGCCTCTTAGCGTAGTCGCATAGAGCTGCACCTGGACAGACTGTTTCCCCACTGGCCGCCCCGACATCTGAGTGACAGCGCACTCCAAAGTCCCAGTGGGGCCCGATCTCCAGGTCATTCCAGCAGGCGATCAGGTCCTTCCCGGCCTTCAGGGCTTCTCTGGTCGGCAGCTCGTCTTCGAAGTACCCGAGGAAGTTGATGCCGATGGAATCGGAGTTACAACAGGGTGCATGGGCTCCCCTACATATGGGAAAACGTAATTTCATGATTGTGTAATTTTACACGTTACACGTTAAATGAATGACAAACATGTGTTTAAACTGTTTATATTAGTTTAAAAATATCCAATATCATAGTAGTAGTGAATACTGTCATCCAATGTTGAAGTAGCCTGGGTACCATCCGGATTTTCGCTACGCAACGCTGGAAAAAATCACGCGTGGCGTAGCAAAAATCCGGATGGTACCCAGGCTAATGTTGAACTTCAGAAGAGGGAAACGAAAGAAAACTCACACATTGTCCCATCCTCGTCCGACGTACACGTTTCCGAACCCGTCAATGAGAAAGTTGTAGCCGATGTCGTCCCAGCCTTGTTCCATGTGGTCCTCCTGGATTTCCCTGACCCTAGCCATGTACTCCTCCTGGTCGGTGTAGCCGCCCCAGTTGGACAGGTGTCTCCAGTAGCCGTCGCTGTGGTGGATCACAAGCTTACCGACGGGGTGGCTGAGCGGCGTGCGGGCCCGGGGCGGCTTTGCGCCCCAGTCATCCCTGCTGACCAGGTTCAGCCGGTCACAGGCCGACTCACACAAAACACAGGCGGGGACAAGCAAGAGAACCAGGCAGAGGAACTTCATCGTCATGTGATGTATACAGGACACCTGGCGCTGGGAAATACATGAGAATTAATAAATACATTAAGAAACGTACGTTGAGAATGACTATAAACTCTACTCAGTTTTAATACAGTGATGTTGAAATTTGCGATATACATGTACCTAGATATGAATGGTACTGAATGATAGAACTATGATATTTGAAGGATAAGACAGATAAGAAGATGATAAAATATTCTTCATCAACGTTAAATAGCTTCTTGAAAAACTCGTACAGTTATATCAAACTTCTTTGTCTGAAAGTCATTGGACAGGCAGTCAAGATACGCATTTCGTCTCAGATTTAGAATGAGTATGCCGGCTGGCTTTTTAACTGAAAACAACACTGTACAGGTACAATGTAGGTGAAAAACAAGACATACGAGAAGTACAACTTACCTTAGCTCGAGAAGATTCAAGTCAGAAGTACCGCCGATAAAGTTGGCTGACTTTTATATCCTTCAGCCGTTTCCGGTGTTTACTCACGCCGGGAGGTACGGACTTGCTCACGTACACATAGAATATCTACGTCAAGTCTTGGACTTTGGACTTTGCCAGCCTCAAAATGCAGACAAGTTGTCAGAAGTAGTTATACTAAAAAGTCGTTCAATGCTGAACCGCATACGAATTTTGATATTTTCCAGGGCCGAGGCAGCTATGAGTTGGTTCCATTGCCTGAATACTACATTGTCACAAAATGATACAACAGGCATAACTGTTATTAACTAAACTAGTCAGTAGTTTGAACTGAAGTTGAACTCGAATTTTCAACTTCCGGTAGTGTACCAGGTCGTCAGTACTGATCAGACCTTTACTGTGGGACTTCCTGTCGTGTTCTGTGTGCTGGGATGTCTAAAGTTGGCGCATACTGGCAATTTTTGAAAAGATGAAGAAGATTATATTTTTTAATAGTGTTAGATGAATCACCCGAATTCGGTGATTCAGTACCTGGGGCCTATTGCGAAAAAAATTTATTCGTTTTCTTAAAAAATCTCATTCTTTTTTGCCAACATTATCAATGAAGTACCAGCGTAAGATATATTTCCCATTCTAGGAAGTAAAACGCGGAGACTGAGCCGTGTCTAACACACATCTGCTTGGACATTAGCTGATTACTCGAATCGGCAGCCTGCGAATGTGTCGCTCATTATCACACTATATAACTGTACAGAAAGTTGTTATGAAACGTTTCTAGCGGAGTTCAAGTCATCTACCTCAAACCAAGCCCTCTGTACTCGCCCTCTTGTATGTCTTCGGGACGTGGACGTGTCGGGAGTTCGTGAGAGCTTAGGACGTCCTTCCTGAAGCGGCTTGAGCTACCGGTGTTCTGATGGCGATCAGCTGACGTAGACCAGCTGTCAGGTGCCCCCCTCCCACCCTGAACTACCGGCAACTTTTACCCTGCAGGGAAAATCGTTGCAGTCGACAGACACGAAGTTCGACAAATGTTGCACGCAAGCCTTAGCTAACTTGTTAAATATTCTATTTATTTATAAGCTCCAAAATATTGTTAAGATGTCGTTAGAGGCGAAAGTTGAAGACATGATCGCAGACGCCAAGGCTCTGATGGACAGAGCGAAAGAGCTACAAGTGGAGGGGTGCGTCAAGCTGCAGAGGAGGATCAAGGCAGAACTAGCTTACCTACAAAAGGTAAGATGAAGTCGTAGTTACTTGCCACAGAAATGCACTTATTTCAATGCATTGCTAAACATGCATATGAGTGTCGTCTCTTGCATCATATTTCATCATCATAACGGTAAAGTCACAGGCAGATCTGGTTAAGTGTAGGTAACCATTAGCCGTGGCGACTATTGATTCGGGCTTACATTGCATTACCCTCAGCAATAGTCGTGGAAAGATCCATTGGCAGAACTGCACATTTCCCGTTGGCTGCTCGATGCTCCGTTTTTGACCCGGTTTTTTGCTGTCCCGAGCTTCCCTACAATATAACTCCACAATTGGCCGGGTTGCCGATGTTTAGATCAGCCTAAATATTCCACAGCGCGACAGAAAAGTAGTAAAATATGACCGGAAAGGCTACATTGTGCTGGATTTCAGTAAAGCTTTTGATAAGGTCCCCCACAGTCGCTTACTGAATAAGCTCCAGCACTATGGCATTTCTGGCAAATTACTAACATGGCTGCAAGCTTTTCTCACTCAAAGAACCCAATCAGTTGTCCTTGATGGTGTGGCCTCTAAGCCCGCCAAGGTAGTGTCTGGAGTACCGCAAGGCACTGTTTTGGGTCCGCTTTTGTTTCTCCTTTATATCAATGATCTTCCGAGTGTTGTGACCTCTAGTGTGCGTTTGTTTGCCGATGACTGCCTGTTGTACCGGGTTATTGAAAAACCCTCAGATGCTCTTGATCTACAAAAAGATCTCGATGCACTGACCCGGTGGCAGGACACATGGCAAATGTCCTTCAACCCCTCAAAGTGCCACACACTTCATATTACTCGTAAGCGTAACCCGATTATTACACAATACCGATTATGTTCAGAAAATCTTACTAGTGTTAAAACCCATCCATATCTTGGAGTCCAACTATCACAGGATATGAAATGGGACACACATATAAATTATGTCACTGGTAGAGCTAATAGGATACTGGCAGTCATCCGCCGTAACCTTTCGCACTGTCCTCTTCGTGTCAAATCTACATGCTACAGAACACTTGTACGCCCACACCTGGAGTACTGTGCGACTGTATGGGATCCCCACACCATCGGTGGTTCCCAGGCGTTGGAGCGAGTCCAACGAAGGGCGGCGCGAATGGCTGTTAGTGATTATGACTATACCAGCAGTGTTTCTGACATGCTAAAGCGCCTCCAGTGGCCGTTACTTGTTGACAGAAGGAGAACCGCTTGCTTGATATCTTTATATAAAATTGCTCATGGACATATTAATATTCAAATGGAACAATACCTCAAACCTGCCCATAGGCGTACCAGAGGAAGTCATGAATATAAGTATCAAGCAATACCTGCCAAAACAGACTGTTTTAGATTTTCTTTTTTTCCAAGAACGATAAATGAGTGGAACAAGTTACCGGGCCAACTTGTAAAAGCCCAGACAGTGGAGGCCTTCAAGGCCGGGCTTCTGGCCGCGCAGCCATAGTCCGTCGCACCCCCCCCCCTCTCAGTGATACCCCAGTAGGGGTGGTTAGAGAGTACTCAAGAAGAAGAAGAAGAAGTAAAATAGCTAGTCGGCACAAGCTGGCGCCATCTTGGATATAGTCGGGAATGTCCGCTACCGCCGTCGGGAACGCTCGGTAGCGTCACGATTACCGAAGCCCGACCGAAAGCTCTCCGATTATAACCGGAAAGGCTACCGAGCGTTCCCGACGGCGGTAGCGGACATTCCCGACTATATCCAAGATGGCGCCAGCTTGTGCCGACTAGCTATTTTACTACTTTTCTGTCGCGCTGTGGAATATTTAGGCTGATCTAAACATCGGCAACCCGGCCAATTGTGGAGTTATATTGTAGGGAAGCTCGGGACAGCAAAAAACCGGGTCAAAAACGGAGCATCGAGCAGCCAACGGGAAATGTGCGGCAGTTCTGCCAATGGATCTTTCCACGACTATTGCTGAGGGTAATGCAATGTAAGCCCGAATCAATAGTCGCCACGGCTAGGTAACCATATGAAATGCATAACTGGTAATTGCTATATCAGTATATGACACAGCACACCAGTCAGTCTCTGCTATTATACCCCCTCAAAATATGTTCAAATTATTAATGAATATGCATATTTTTTATATTATCTAATGTTGTGCAAAAGTTAATACTCGACTGTTGTCAGGAAATGACATAAGAATGCTCATTTTCTGTGATTCATTCCATGATGAGGGATCTGTCCCCTTGACTGTCAATGATTTATCAAATAAAGGCACACATTCAGCAACCATAACAGCATTGCAAGTCAGCACAGACTCTATTATTGCTGAGAAGACATCCTGACATGAAATCTTCCCTGTGTTTGTGAGTAGCTGCAGAAGAGCTCCATGGAGCTGAAGGAGAACCATCTGCGGAGTTCTAACCTGACCCACCTGCGAGCCATCATCACCACAGCAGAGTCCCTCCCAGCCATCAGCAGCTTGCTCCACCCCTTCCACTTCACCGACCAATCAGGGAACAGGGTGACTCTGACTGTAGATGTAGCAGCCAATCACGGCCTGACATGGGTGAAGGTCATTGCCAGGAAGGCACAAGCAATGCATGTCATCTGGCTAGGTGAGTCTGTCACTTAGATATTGAAATCAAAGATGGACAACTGCTTCAACTTAAAGCTAAAGGTAGATCAAAGCATTGTATAAACCTGTACTAATTATCAATCTCATTCCATGCCTCAGGTTATAGCTAGTATGGTGTCATAGTTCTGAGCTTTTTATACCGTTGTCAATCCTTTCCTTGCAAAAAAAAATATCTAAGTTTTGCATTGTCATATGATAGAATGCATTTATGGTGTGGTTGTGATTAAATTCCCTTCAATAAGGTATGTTTTTTTCACAACCAATGCTTACAATTCTTTACTTTCTAAATAATACCTGCAATGTACAATAAAAGACATGACAGTATATGATGTTCCTTCCCTACCAGGAGAGGGCCAGTATGGGGAGAAGAGTGTAGTAGACCAGGCTGAGGACTACATTGCAGCTGCTGCTGACAATCCTCTCAAGTTTTCTATCCCTCAGGTCATCTTTTCATTCTTCAATGGCATAACCCAGCCAATAGCAGGTGAGATATTCAAATATAACAAAACTTCAGAGAGTCTGCTTTAATGTTGTTCACCTAAAAAGGAGTCTGTGCACAGGCATTTTGGATGAAAAGATTGTCAATTAAAATGTGGAAAAAGTTTCAAACTCAGAAACCAACGTCTTAGTATTTGAAATATCTACATGTAGATAATCTTATTGCTGGTATAGTCCTTAAAATCATGCATTTATCATTATTCTGGCATTGTCTATTCTACCAGCAATGCCAAAATATGAAGAAATACATGTATATTGAAAGAAATGTTATACACATGTATTTTCATTGTATGTACAAGATGTATTTTTTTTCACAGAAAAACTACTTGAATTAGGAGTGCAAGTAAAAGGGGACATAATTGCTGTTGAAGCTGAGACGGTGGAAGATGAAGATAGTGACGATGATGATGAAGAAGAGAACAGCTGTCACTCCTCTGTATCCTCCTCCTCCTCCTCTGGACCGCCCCACACCCTGCCACCCCCGCGGACAGAATGTCAGTGCCTGAACTTAGATGTAACAACCCTGCTGGCCATGGTGTCTGCACTCACTAACGGGAGGAGCAGGTTCAGATTTCAGGAGCCCATCTTAAACCAACAAGCCGAGTGGGAGAGGGAGAGACCGTTATTATTAGAGCTTAACAAATATATAAAAGGTATCATCAAACTTATAGCAGTTTTATGTCAAAGCACGAACTAGGAAGCATTTGAGCATGAGAAAGAGGAAGCAATTGATATGAGAGAAGCCCATTAGTTTACAAATATTGCTAGATACAGTATAATGTTTTGTCAGTCAGTGTATACGTAATAAAGATATGACATTAAACTGAAGAAAAAGTGGTGAGAACATGTGAGAAAAGATACGTGAACATGTAACGCTAGATACTAGAGAAGGCTTATGAGTACAAGTATAATTTGGGGGGATATGGTTGTCAAGTGAGTTCATGATTACTGTTAATTAATTTGCTTAGTACAGTTCAACTCAATATCAGTTCTAGGAAATCAAAAAAAAGTTCAATGAAAAGTTTTTCATATTAAAGTACTTTTGACAACGAAGATGTTTCTTTCCACAGGAAGAGAACTAATTGCGTGTGAGTCAGCAGTCCGGGACTTTCATGCCATCCTGTCCACAGTGGGAGGGGTGGAGGAAAAAGATAGGGCAAAAGAGCTTCTCCAGAAGGTCAAGGTTGTTGCAGACCAGCCCTCGGATAGGGCGGAGAGGCTGGAGCTGAGTGGTCGGGTCAAGGAGAGGGCAAAGGTCAGTGACATTGAACAAGTAGAGGTCATAGTCAAGTATGATGGGTAAATGTCAAGGAATGTGTCTGCATGGAATCTTACTTGGTGTATGTTGCTTGAACAGTAAGCATGATTGTCACTGGAAAACAATCAGCTTGTAATATAGAAGAGTTATATACATATACTTGTATATGTATTATATTAGCCTACGGTGTTAGTTTTACTGAGTATGATGTGGAATGTAAAATTTGGCGCAATTCAGTGTATACTGCAAGGCCAATTTGTATCGTGTTTTTATCAATAAACCATTACTACTCAAACTATCTTGTGCAAACTTGGAGCTACATATGATTATTTATATCATACCCGGGCCGCGATAACGTTCGATAACGGGTTCCGGACCGGGCCGTACTTTACGGTACGGCCCGGTCCGGACCCGTTATCGAACGCTTCCATGGCTTCCATAAAACGATTCGAACGCGTTTCGCCCTACCCGCTTGTGCCCCTTTCGAAAATTCGAATACATATCCGGACGTTGGAATTGATGTTGTTGCATTTTAGGGTTCAGTGGCACCAACTTTTGGCTCATCTTGTATTGAAAGGCGTGTTTTCCTGGGTGGGTATGACATAAATAAAATACAACACGGTGTATTCCGCATCGCCCTCGGTCCCGGCCCTCCCGCGAGTCGGGCCGATACCTCGGGCGATACGGAATACCCCGTGTTGTATTCTATATGTACTACGAATGACGATGATTTGTGGCTGCTGCCTACGGAATACAAAGACTATAAACTTTGGCGGGCCTGATTACGCGAAACGAAAAAGGTCATGCAGAACATGAGATTTTTTATTGACACAACAAAAAAGTACAGAGACTTTGTATGGTCTCCTACAACTTAACTAACGATCTAACAAAGCTAAATACATGTGTGGATAACGTTATCTTACGTACAGAGTA